CAAACAGTTGACGAGTCAGATTAAAAATAAAACTAGTGGGGCACATGGCATCGTGCCTTAAGGCAAATTGCTGGCACTTCCCGCACCAAAAAATATTTTTTTTAAAAAGATTAACATTTTTGAAAAAATTTTACTTCGAAAAAATTAGATTTTTGAGAAACTATGAATTTGACAAAACTACTTTTTTTGAAATTTATTTTGACATATTTTGCAAATTCTGAACTTTTTTTCAAAGCAATCGTACTTCTTTAACTGTATAGAGACGAAATATCGAAGCGCGTAAGCGCCGTGCCGCCGCCTAATGGATAAACGTTGGTACGGAACCCATAGGAATGTAAACAAGATTTATGCTTATTGTTAAAATCTCTATAAAATATCTGATAATTTGATGTGCATATGTCTAATGATCATTTTTGACGCCAGATGGCATTTTTTTTACTTTTTTTACTAGGTCTCTGAAACCGCTAGGCCTGCCTTCATGAAAATTTGATCAGTATCCGAACACACACACACACGCACACACACACGCACACACACACACATACGCACACACATACATCCATTTTTTCTAAGATATGCCAAAATGTTCAGAAACCTTCAAAACGTCGAGAAATGTAAAAATTTTCAATTTCGATTTTTGGCCCCTTACAATAACTTACCCTACGGGAAGTTAATTAATTTATTTATTGGTAATAATACTTATGTTTTCAATTTAGTATGATACATAGATTTGAGTATACATTTTGAATAAAGGCGAAAATTTTAAATACTAATAATAGACTTCAATATACAATGGACTCAGAATAGAAGAAAAATTATTTTTGTTGATTCAATGATTGAGAAAACAGATTAATTTGGTTTTCCAGTTCTTCATATAATCTGTGACGTATTGAAGTAAATAAATATTCTCTATCAATTTCATTAACCAAAGTCTCCACAAATAATATTTTTTCTTTTTCTAAATAGTTTTTAAACCGAAGTCTTTTGCAGATTCACTTCAATTTCATCTGATTGCATTTTCTTGTAGCTTCTAGAATCTAGAATAATCATATTATGTTCCTCGCCGCGTAACCGAAGCATTTCTTAGTAATAGAAACCCTGATTGAATCCGGCGGACGGACATTGGCAACCCTATCAGGCCTCGTGGTGGTGCCGGCGGTGTATTGATCACAAAACGAACTCGTCGCGAAGTGCTTTAACATCTGTGTTTAAATCAGGGATCGAAAACCTTAAATGGTAATTGAGATAGGGAAATATTTGAGTTTCGTGAATTTGATATTCAAACTTATAAGGGTAAATTTAAAATGTAAGTCAGTATATGTATGTCATAAAAAATGCATATGCAGTATGAACTTTATTATTACGTTTTATCTACTTGCTTTGAAAATTACACTGAAGACTTATTTTTTTAAGGGGCTGTCTTTTAAAATGGGATTACATTAAAATAGTTAATTGTGCAAAAATTCTACGCAGAGTCCACTTGAATTGTAATATTTATATTAAGGGATCGTTCAAGTATTACGTAAGCAGATTTATTACAATTATTTACCCCCCCCCCCCTCCCCTTTGTCAGCAAAAGTAAGCACAAGTTCTTACCCAAAATAAGCAAATCAATAAACACCCCCCCCCCGTCCCCTTTAGTGCTTACGTAATACTTGAACGGCCCCTAAATTGGAATGCGGATTATGAGGTAGAAATTTGATAAAAAAGGACTAATATACACCTAAGTCTGTTTTACACGGTCTTTTTGTACACGGTTTTGATATAACACGGTTTGAAAATTGAATATTTTTAAATTTTTTGCACGAATTTATTCCATTTAGCACGATTTGAAATTTATGTACCTAAATTTTTTTTGTCAAATTAAATTTTGCGAAGTATGTTCATATCACAAAAAGTATTTATGAAAGAAAAAGTCTGAAACCATCGATAGTATCGATAGTGTGCGAACACTAGCTTAAAGATTTAAGTGAATTCCCCTTTAGCGCGTACAAACAATTTTTACTGGTCAAAGCAAATGTGAATAGCACTAATTTAATTCTTGTTCTTAAAAATTCTTGTTTTTCACCAATTTTAATAGGTTTTAGAGATTAGGAACAAATCACCTATTTTTGTATAAGATCAATGTCTTTTTTTACACGTTTTTTTTTTTTACACGGATTCTTCTGGAACCAATCTCCGTGTAAAAACAGACTTAGGTGTACTTGAAAATGTTTTTTTCTATATAGCAAACGAAATTCGTTCAAACTTAAATGTTTGGTCTGGGTATGTCGGATTCAATACCGACTGGAACACGTAAGGCATTACTTTATGGGGGGAGGATATAGAATACTATGATGCTCTCTCTCAGTTATTTTTTCCACCTAATTGGTGCAATTCTCTCTCGTTTGAAAATAATGTGTGCTAATAGACATTTGTAAAACCGATAAAATTAGACTTACAACAGAAAAATAATACTTGTACACGAAGAAAAGTGATTCATTTTTTTTTTTACAAAATATTAATATTTTATTAGTCATGGGACTTTCTGAATTATAAAGCATACATCTTTAATTCTATATTGAATGTATAAAATATATACATATATATTTTATGGAAATTGTTAGAAAAGATTGCATTGATCTCTTCTATCTCTTTTGAGTGGGATCTGTAAAAGTTGCAGTTTACTCTTGCAAATATAACATCTGACCTTGCTCAAATAATGTATTCTTCAACTCTCTGTCTATTCACACATCTACAGTGGTTTTCAAGACATATTCTGTGGATGCGAACAACCTTTTGCGTTTGTCTCATAGCTCTTGCATCTTACCCTGCGACTCCATCCCTTACGCAAGTGGGGGTGGTTAGTAGCGCCTGTTGATCCCACGTGACCTGCTGACCTGGAAGTACGTTTCTTACACTATTTCGTTTCGTATTGTAGTGGTTTCGTAGATTCGATAATAATTTGTAATAATAATCATTGATAGTATTTGTATTTTTTATTTATTTATGAGTTTATATATAAGAGATACACATTATATGAATCCTTTAGATCTGCAGTAGTAGTATTTTTTCATATTTCTTGCAATTCTTGAAAATATATAAACATTTTTATTGATAATAATTTTAATAACCATTAATGAATATAATTATAATATTGACAATTATAAATAATCTTAGGGTTTGGGGTCGTCCATTTATCACGAGTGGCTTAAAAGTGAGGGAGAGATTTGACACAAAATAACGAAATATCACATGGAGGGTATAGTAATATATCACATGAACTTATTTTTCACCTGAATTTAAAAAAAAAACAAAATTTTTCAAAAATATCCAAAAATTTTATTGGTTTCTCCAGGTACTAAAAATACACGTGATGTTGGCTGGGGGAGGTGCGGTAATTATCAGCAGGGATTCTGAAAATCCTTAAAAATTGGTCACCTTTAACTTTGTACTTTCAAGTTTTTTTCTGAATTTTTGTTTCCACCAAATAAGCAACACTCAATACGAATTTTTTATCATATGTTTGAATTTTATTAATTTATTAATTCTACGATTTAATACATCATCCCAATTAGTGATAAATGTTAAAATTTTCAGTCACTCCTCTTTTCTATTTATATCTAAAATATAACTTACGTAATTTACATCCTTTATGTTTAATTCAAATAACATTTGCGAATTTATTCGAGCAACACGTATCTCTATTCTCTAATAGTACATTTTTAATGATCTGTAAAGCAAAAGCATTGGGACTAATCGTATAATATAACTAGAGTAAGCGAGCCAAGGACAAATTCGAGCGTGTTTCTTTAAGCAGCTGTTGTTTATAAATACGAGCCCGCGTAATGTACACAACTCTCTGGGTTATCAATGATCATAATATCTGTGCACGGTGTGATATGATAGCATTATACACGGATAATTTTTGATAATTCCGAGAATAATTTTTTAAAAATATAATAATTGATGTCTAGAGGCATCTTTTAACTTGCTTGAGAAGTAAGCCACTTTCATCAGATTTTCAAAATGTTATCCACATTTTCATATCTATATAGTTATGTCAGTAAAAGGAACGACTTGTAACGGATAACACATAATGCTAATTTAGATTTCCATATTTTAGATTTTAAATTATTACACACTGATGATGGGACAAACCTGGTCTCGAAACGTTTGTAAAATTATTATTTAATAAATTAGTGCAAACAAGAGTGTTGTTTGTTCATATTTCTAAATTAATATATGGATATGTATATATAGTATATCTCGTGTCATGATATTCGTCGCAATACTCTTCCAATACGGTTTGATCGATTTTGATAAAATTTCATAACATTTAGTATGAATGAGAATCGGTCAATAGCTGTTCTTGAGACCCTTAAGATTTTTTTTATTTTTTGGACCAAATTTTTCTACTGTATTTTTTTATAATTTTGAAATTTGAATCACATACACTCTTAAATTTTCACCTTTCTACCACAAACCCCGATTTTGTAATAGTCATGTTAGTAATCGAATAATTTTTTATACTGCTTTCAGTCAAGGAATGTTTTTGATATAATTTTAGTTTTAAGAGTTTTTTGAGTTTATGGAAAAGCTTAAATTTTATTTTAATTTAAAGTAAAAAAGCTTTTGATAGGAATCTAGGTATCATACAAACGTATGGCAAAGCCAGAAATTTTTCCAGTTTTTGAAATCTCACTCGATTCTCAGGAATATTTATATGTAGCATGCGTTGCAGTGGGTGAACCATTAATTTAAAATAAGTTAAACATTTATTTAATTTGTGTTAGCCGCCCCTGGAAATATTTTTTATGGCTGAACAACGTTTGCCTGGACAGCTAGAGTCTATATAAAAAAAATGGAATTATTGCTTCATATTATGGCAAATTGATATATCAACGATATTGTAATATTTGTAATTTCATATTTTATTATTATGAGATCCTTCTTATTACATTAATTTACTTTTATTTATATGAATTTCATCTTGAATAACTTTCTTTTCTATTTTCTAGAAACTCAAAATGGTTGCTGGGAGAGCGGGCTGTCCTATGAATGTCGATCATTGCTTTTCAAGGCGCTCCATAATCTAATTGAACGGTATTTATTTATAAATTATAAATCTAACTTCATTTCATTAAAAATTTCATTATATTCAATTTCTGCTTTACTTATGTTTCAGATGTCTTCTCTCAAGGGATTTTGTACGCTTAGGAAAATGGTTTGTTCAACCTTATTCAAGTTCCGAACGTCAACTAGGAAAAAGGTGATTATGAAAAAAATATATAAAAATATTTCCTGCTTTCTGTTGATGATCAATTGGAATGCACATAATAATTAAATATTATAATGTTATAAGTTTTGTATCCATTTTCCAATTACAGTAATATTTTTAATGAAAGAATTGGATCTGGAATACCTCTATCCGATCCAAACCGGCGCATGTTGTTATTGTGCTGACCTTCAAGCGTAATTAACGCTATATGCTTGGGTAGCGTATCAATAGACATTGTCATGATAATATTTTAAATGAGTATACTAGAACTAGCTAGTCAGCTTCATTCAGGATTGATTTATCACTTTGATGCTGGAATGATATTTTTACATCGCAATAAACGTACATCGAGATTGTTAAATATTGATAACCGAGTAATAACATTCTGAAACTGTATACATTTTATTTAACTCAAATCAACTGAAACATTTCTCTGAAGACGACTTTGCATGAATTTTTGATTTCTTCTTCGAGAGCCTCGTTAGCTAGTTGGTTTCGTACCTGAATGCTGTCCTGGTGGTCCCTGGATCGAATCCCGGTCAGACTCAAAGCTTTCGGAAGATGCACTGAGACAAGTAGATTCAATGTACTTGTATCTCAGTCCTATCGACTTAGTGATGGATTAATTGTTGCGTTGGTTTTCCAACACGACTTTCGATCTGTTGTTAAGGTTGAGTTCTTCCAAGAATAATTGTCGAAGTTCTCTGAGCTTTGTTCGTGAGAAAAGAGCAACGCTTCGTTCATTTCGCACATTTCTTAATAGTTTTTTTTTGCAACGATTGCAACTTGTGTAATAAATATGTGATTTTAATATTCTTGTTTTTTTTCAGCACGGCACACCTTTCTTTCTCATTTGCGTTTTTCGTGCATGGTGAGAGTACTGTCTGCGCCAGCGTGGACGTTCGACAACATCCACCAGTCAGATGTCTGAAAAGGCATCACATTGTATCTTCGACACCAGATCAACCACCCAGACAAGGTTATTATTATATTTTAAAATTTTTCAAAATATAACATTAATGATAATTCTAATTACTGTTTGTTTTCGAGCAGTTATTCTGGCTCCCTTCGGAATGGCTGGAACGTTGACTGGACAAAGTGGTAGAGCAATGGATACTGCCACTTCTCGATTGCTTGAAGAATGGCGACATTTTTATCCTATCACCCCTCGTGAAAACAGTGACCCAAGCCTACCACAGGCTGTTGAAGTTAGTATTAAAAAAAACTTCACTCATTTACATGTATTTTACAAATTTATTTATATATATGCGATTTTTTAGGTTTTAGTCGGTGGCGTGAAGATGAGGTATCCATCGTGCTACGTATTAGTAACAGATATGGATGAAGCAAAATCTTCCAACAGTGGTATTACTAATTTACCCATCAATTCTAAGAATTCTGTTCAGCCAGGTATGTATATTTTTTATTTTTTTTGACGATTGAATAGTTTTTTATTGTTACATGATCTATTTTGTTTCAGCAGCAGGTCAGCCAAATCAGCCTTCCATAATGACTCCACCTCCATCACCTGTTTCGTATTGCGGGCTAGGTCCGAGTTTGACTCCTCATGGACCCCCTAGTTTGACCCTACCTCCAACGCCTGCTGTGTTCGTTCCTGAACGTGTTTGGCAAGATTGTATTATGAATCCAGAATATACGTCACAGGTTTGTAAAGTCCTAAAATATTTACAATTAATTGTAAATAGTTTAGTTTAATTGTATTGCTGGTAGTGGAGAGACATTTTCTCTATAATTTAATTTGTTCTAATATAAATTTATTTATTCAGAACCAAAGTTTGCAAGATGGAAGTAGTTTTCCAATGCAAGTGGACCAATCAAAACAATCAGAAAATTCTCAAAATAATGGTTCTAGTAATAATATGAACCTCAATAGTACCAACTCATCAAACAGTAGTTCTAATTCCTTCAATAACACCTCAACGCAGTGGGACTTCACAGACCCTACAAATAAAGTTAATTGCTCTTGTTCCAAGTAAGTAATTTTGATATTAAATTTTATTATTAGAAATGCATTTCTGTAATACTAGATAGAGTTTATATCGAAACGTTCATCAGCTTATGCAATTTGAGAAATAAAATTTAAACTATAAACTACACATGGAATAAATCTATACAATCATTATAATTTGCATCAGCTGATGTGCGATTTCTGAAAGTTGTAGGTAGTATGATTGATATTTGTTTTTGGGATTTCTTCAAAACTATCTAGTTATAACTAAAAGTAATAAAATCTGGTTAAGTGGGCATTTACAAAAGAGACTATTCGGCGATTACTATTCTTTAGAAATGCTTAATATTAGCTTAAATACTTACTAGATTTATTATGTTAATGTTGTGCCTGTACTTTTAAATCTTGGTTATATTGAATGTGTGGCTTAATCAGTTGTCCTTTTTAATATTCTTATCAGTAGAAAATTTGAGAGCTAAACTGTATAAAGATTTTAAACGTAGAACCAAGGTTTTATAGTTTGAAATTTTTAATTTTATGTAGTGTTGAGAATGAGTTGCACTCTAATATTTACTCATTTATATGTCTTTACGTAATTAATCATGATTTGATGAATGAATATTATTTTGATTTAACGACAAGATACTGTTAACTGCCAGCAGTCAGTTTATTTTTAATTACCACTAACACTAATTGGTCTATATAAATATTATTCGAATATTTTAATTTACAAATACTCGTATATAACTTTCATTGATCCCAAATGGAAATTTCATTTAATTATATTCAGCTGAGAGCTACGTTTAGTAAATAGAAAAATGCTAAGTTAATAAGCGGTTATTCTAAGATAATGATAAAAAAAAGAAAAGTGTGACAAAATACAAATGCACATCAGGTGTAGAAAGTACATTGGCGGTCGTTTAACTGGTCGGTCTAGCGGCGTCAACAAGACATCATCGTCTTCACAGCAAAACAACACGAACAACACAATTGCAAATAGCAGGTCCGGAGCAGGAACGGGCCGAGTGCCGTTTCATAGGCGATCGCCATTGCCCAAGACGGAGACGTGGCGGACCTGCATTAAGACCAAAAGCAACAGCGCGCCGAGGTTTGTTCTCATTGCGAGGGCTGTGCGAAACACGCAATACAAAATAAATAAACTAAAAAAAGTCAAAAATATTAAAATAGTATGGCGTGCGGATTGTTTTTTTAAATTCTTTTTAATACAGTTATTGTAATCTCACACTCACTCACGTGCGTTCACATTATCACAATAAACAATACATCTAAAGCTTGACTAATATTTTTGTTGCATATTTAGGTCGGATGATACGTTGTAGTAAATGGGCTTGTCCCCATTTAGTAATACTTATTTTCAGACATAAATATAATGCAACTTTTAAGCTTTTTAATGGTATTGCTAATACTATACATTATACCCTGCATACAGTCATATGTATATAATAAATATATATGTATAACTTATTATTATCCAATCATTAATGCACGCTTTTCAGTAAGTAGTCGATTTATTTTCGGATATGGTATTAAATAAAAACGGTGGATTCTTTAGTTTTCAAATTAGAAAGTCTACATGCTAGATTTTACGTACGATAAATTAATATACTAGTTGCTATTCCGCCTTAAATCTTAATATGTACATAAAAGATCATTATATATTCATTAAATTAACTATGCAAAGTTTGATAGATTGCTTCAATTACGATATCTTCTGCTGGATACTCATTATCTGCCTTCACTTACTAATATAAATATCATATTATTGTGCACTATTTCAGATCGACACACAAATATTAGTTAACGCATTTCATAAACTACAACTTATTGCATAACTAAATAATTAAAATCGCTTATATTTAGTTGTTGAATGCTATGTATAACGTGTGATATAATTGATCTCGTTTCAGGTTATTTTATATGTATTAACTAATCCATTTTCATTTTTTATATTTCTTACATCGTATTATAAATATTTAAATGTTCTCATGTTTTAAGCTAAATTAATAAGTATTTTTTCACCAATTTCCAGCATATTCCATGATCATGTTATAATGTCATTGCTTGTCGTGTGATACTTTACAGCTTTTTTCAGAGTCATGTTGGTTTTTTTCCTGATGCATTCTTATTCATTTGTATATAAACATTTCTGATTTTGGCAATCAAAAGTGGAATATGAATAATATCAATGACGAATATTGAAAAACTACTGCAATAAAATTAAAATCGCTATGGTTAGATTGAGTATTTCATTTTTGTTGCTGTACTTGCCAAATTTTGATATTTTTTTGGGATTGATTTTATTCAAGTTCCGTATTGTCATTATGTATTTTTCACAATATATGATATGATATGGTATAATAATGCTTGATAATATAGTATTCATAAATTCTTACAGACCTTCTGAAGAATCTAGTCCGTCGCAGACGCCGCCTTCATATAGTCGAGTGTCTACGCAGCAACAAAGTAATGCTAATACATCATCAGAAAATCTAGGAGTATTATCAGTCGGCAGCGCTGGTGCACCATCTCCAATGATGAATGCAAATAGCGTACCAGGAATTGCTAACCCTTCACCTCTCGATGGAAACGCAGGAGGGTCGACGCCTCGACCGCCTTCCTCCGTTCCTCCCTGCGACGCCTTAATGCCGGTGTTGTCTCCACAACCGCCGACGTCGGTTTTAGAAAAATCGAACAATACTCCGACTGGACAAAGTACTGATGCAGCAGTGGCGTCTACTCCTGAGACACATGAACAGAATGATACTAATGGTGCGCTTCTGAACGAGCCGAATGCGCAACAAAACGCCACAGGGGGACCAAAAAGCGTTTCTAGTATAGGAGGAAATTTGGTAAATATTTTGTCACACATATAATCTTTCTCTTAATTGTTCAATCACTTAAGTACAAATGTTTTGCAGCTTTCGTCACCTTATGTGGCACCTCCTGAATCTGTAGAGGTTCCCCAAGCTCCTGATGCTGCTACAACCAATGGTTTGCCAAACATGGGTATTCTAAAAAGGCCTGTTCTCGTTTCGCGGGAATATGAATCTGCACTTCATGATAATGAACATACTCTTGATATGCTGTACGATTACAGTACGATGGATGCTTGGTTAGTGTTAGCGAATATCATTATTAAATTGTTTATTTATTTATCTATTTATTAATTACATTTTCTTTTATTTTACTAGGTTAAATCATCCCGTAAAACGATTTAAACCTAGTGAAGTGAAGAAAGAAACGAAATTGGGTCGAGGAATACACTTATATGCCGGTCATACACCGGTTAGTTCGGCTCCGGATCCACCAGTAGCTATGAATATTTTGGTCAAACAAGAAATTAAACAAGAAAATATTGTAAGTATAACTTAAAGCATATTGAAGGTCAAAAAAAATACAAATGTATTAAAATTAAAATCTAAATGTATTTTCAGGAAAAGGATTGTAATAAAATAAATGCAAGAAATTTGTATACCAATGAAGGACTTCAAGTGTCTTCAAATGATCTTGATGAACTGTTTGATAATTCGGATGATGCTTCAGGAGATGAAGTGGTAGCAAGAACTTTTGATTTTTTATATCTGATTTTTATTACAATTACTCTAACTTTTATTAATGTTATATATTATTTTTTACAGCTGCAAGTTCACACGCCACCTGGTTCTAATAAATCATCTGGTTGTATTGACGATCAGAAACGTTGTTCCTCAGGAAATAATATGAATACAGGAATCGTGAGGGCCGAAGAATTATCGAAAATGTTTCCCACGCCGCCGTCGCTAGAGCACAATTTAGTTGCCAGTCCTTGCGGCGGAGCACTTACTGATTTTATGACTGATTTAGATATGCCGAAGTATAAACAAGAGATTTATCCCAATATGGGTAGCCCTCAGCAAGAGAATATAGAGGTAAATAATTTAATAAATTGAAAATAACTTTAGAGAGAATTCTTATTAAAGTAAAATGTATTTTTTATTTTTTACAGGACTGGTCATATGTATTTAAACCTCCAACTATTTGTAAATATGTGGGGTCTTCTAAGTATGCACCTCTAAATAGCTTACCTAGCCAATTACTTCCTGTAGTAACACTTCCACCAAATTGTGTTTATAAACCAAAGCCAACGTGGCAGCAAAGTAATAGTAATAACATATCTTCTTCAGATAAATCTGTTACTCCTATAAGTGCAGCATGGTAAGACTTTAATTTCTTTACTACTTACACCGGATTAAATAAATTTGTTATACATTAACTTTTCTTACAGTCATACTATGATTCCTCCTGGCCCATCATCCGCACCAAGGCCAAGTTCAGTTTCTAGTGTAAATATGGGACCAGGAATGTCACACAGGCCTGGTTTATCACCTATTTCTCCAGTTAATCATTTTCCACCTAGTCCCATGCACAATAATTTAAATATGCATATGAATCCATTTAGACCGGGTAAAAAAATATTATAAGCTTGAAAATTATATTAGTTTATTTATAAATTGATATTTCAATTGTATAACTCTTTATTTTCAGGTGGTCCATCTGTACGAACGCCCATTCCTCCACCCCCCCCTTACGAAATGCCTTCACCTGCTTCAACAGCGTCATCATATTTAAATAAAAATTTCCCTTCCGTGGAAGCAACTACACCTTGCACTTTAAGTAGGCCACCAGAAGCTAATTCACTGATGGTGAATATTCTACTTGGAGACACGGCATTGAATCTTTTTCGAGATCATAACTTTGATAGTTGTACATTATGTGTTTGTAATGCTGGACCAAAGGTAAATCATGATTTATTTTATCATTTTACTTAATTAATTCTGTTTTAATTGTTAAATATTATACATTTATATTCTTTATGAGATCCATATCATTTAGTTCAAATGTTTTTTGCTTCAGATGGTTGGAAACATACGAGGAGCGGATGCTGGAATTTATTTAGCTCCCCCTTGTAGTAATAAGACAACATTAGCACCATTACCTTCTGTTAGTCCTTTTACGAATAATGGGACTTGTGGACCACCTCCTTATGGAATGCTTGCTTCACCAGCCACTCCTCATCACACTTCTGCTGCTGCTGTTAATGGGTAAATATTAAAGTTTAGGAAAGAAGAATATTAAATTGAATTGTAACAAGTTAATTATAAAGTTGAAACTTTCAATTCAAAATTAATAATGTAAAAATTATTTCTTTAAATTTTTACATGTGATTGTCTACTCTTTCTTAGGTATGTGGATGATGATCCCATTCGATGTAGTTGCGGTTTCAGTGCTGTTGTCAACCGGAGACTGGCTCATCAAGCTGGTTTGTTCTATGAGGATGAAATGGAGATCACTGGCTTAGCTGATGACCCCAGTGAGAACAAAAAGGTTTCTCTTCTTTCAAGTTTGTTATCTAGTGCAAAGACAGAATCTAGTTTGGATCATAGTGCTATTGATGTGATCCCACATAGTGTTATGGATTTGTTACGTGATCAGTGTATTGTGATACAGAGTTCTAGTAGATCATTACATAGGGCAGCCTGTCGGTATCAAAGAGCAAATACTACGTCTATCAGTAATATGTTAAATGCTTTAGAATTTATGGATGGTAATGACTTGACTAGTTTAGCTCTGGACCAAGGGCGGCAAGCCACTTTAGATAATACAAATATATGCAAATTAGAAGATAGGACTCCAAGAATAAATAATACTGCAAGTGTGCATAGGTGGCCGTTCATACGTGCTGCAGGTCCTGATTGCAATCAGGATATTATAAGAGTGATGAACTCTTTAAGGCCTTTGTTACAAGAAGCTATACAGAAAAAATGTCCTACAAGGTTGTGGGAGGCCCCTTATACAATATCAGGCCCCTTGACATGGCGGCAGTTCCATAGACTTGCTGGACGGGGTACTGATGATATGTGCGAACCGCAACCGATTCCGTCATTAGTTGTGGGGCACGAAAAAGACTGGTTGTCATTATCACCTTATGCAATTCAATACTGGGATAAATTATTACTCGAGCCTTATTCTTATACACGTGATGTTTCTTATATTGTGATGGCACCGGATAATGATGCAGTGGTTTCAAAAGTGCGGACGTTCTTTAAAGAATTAAGCACCACTTATGAAATGTGTAAATTAGGTAGACATGTGCCGTTGAACAAAGTGTTGAAGGATGGGATTTTAAGAGTGTGCAACAATTCAAAATTACTTTCAGGGGAGCCAATTGATGATTGGTTCACAGTTTTGGGAGATTCTAAAGTAGCTGACATGCTCAAGTCCTATGCCAAGGTAAGATTATAGTATCTTTTAATAATTATTTAAGAGCTTAGTATTTTATATAAAGAGATAATAGCCCAGAGGCTTCATGGAGACCTTCAAATATTTATTTGCGGCCCACCAAGCACTTTTAAAATAGTTTTATTATTTTATATACTTTTTCCCATCAATAAATCAATTATTATGCATTCTTTTCTTGTTGCATTAATTTATGATTTTTTTTTAGTTCAGCATTTTTATTATATAATGTTTATTAGTATATATCAAGCTTTGAAAATTATTAAGTGCGGCCGCCACAAAATTTAAAATTTAAATGAGCCCGTGAGTTAAAAAGGGTGTTCATCTTTTGTGTAAGTGAAAGAATAATATTTGATGAATTTATTTTATTTATTATAATGATATAATTAAATATTGATAATTTTACTTACATTAAGCTAATTTTTTATCTATTATTATTAGGTACAAATTTTTAATACTTGGGGGTTGGACTTGCCATTTATCATTAACACTTATTCATTTCAAAATTATTTAAGTGGCAGTTGATTGGTTATTATAATCACATGTGAAACTAATATTGAAGTCTGTCAATTTTCAAATTAATTATTTATTTTTCTTGTCTTTTTGTATTAATAGGTCTGTAAACAAAATTTGATGCCTTTGCTCAATGATAAAACTTTATTGGAACCTGAATCAAATTGCACGATAAAAGACCGGCCAATGCCAAGTCCTATGCCACCACCAAGTACACCGGACCCTTCACAAGGAATTGAGAAAGCACCATCCACTCCTAAACATGACCAAGGTAATAATAATTATAAATTGAATCATTAAATTGAAAAAATATCTTTATAAACTAAGTTTTATGATATAATATAGTATCTTTCATTACAATTATTAATTAATTACATTAGTATTATGTATTTAACAGTGGTTAGTGGCATCTAAGACTCATTCCATTTTGTTTCAATTTCAGAACCTGATGCTAAAGAATCAACTTCATCAATGTCTAATAACACTGCTGATGTAGTTATAGTATCCACTCATGAAGAGGATGAAGTACTGCCACCATCTCTAATTATATATTTAGTTGAGCCTTTTACAACGGGCTCAGATAATCCAGATCTTGAAAGGCTTGCATGTTTAGCTTTGTTGAGATGTTTTTGTGCTGTTTTAGCTGGCATCCCAGAAAGTGTTCGAAATAACATATCTGTACAGGTAATAAAATGAATATATTAAACATTTTTTTTTTTTGTTATATATATATATATATATATATATATATATATATATACATATTATTAGACTTTGATATATATATATATATAAATATATATTAATAATATATATATGTATATAATAATATAATAATATAAGTATATATATATGTATATAATAATATAGTAATATAAGTAATATATATATGTCGGTCTAATAATATATATATATATATATATATATATATATATATATATATTTAAATTAAGTTATTTATTATAAAACATTTATTTTTTAGTTTTTATGTTTTCTAGAAAATATAAGTAGATGTTTTTAATTATGTATATTTTTTAATTTCAGATTATTTCACAAGATAGTATTATGGAATTGGGAAGATGTAGAGATTCCATTAAAATGTCTGATCATATGAGGTCACTTGCGCTCAGTGTATTTATGCAATGTAGGAGGCATTTAATACATACGAATAATATTAAGTCTCTAACTGGCTTTGGAACTGCTGCAAACGCGGAACTTTTTCTCAAATCTAAGGATGTAAGTATAAGAATGTATTCTTATTTAACAATATACAATAAAATAATAGTAATTTTATTATTTTATATGTTTTATAAACCTCTAAATGGGATATTTAATCTTCTTCTTCAGGAAAAGAATCGTGCCCCTTACAAACTATACACACCGCCATATATATTAGCTCCTCACAAAGAGAAAGGTGATGGTGAAGGATTCAGATTATCGACTGCAGAACAACAGTGTTCTGTTATGTATTTAAATTACTGCTTGTCAGAAGATCAGAGTTGGCTTCTGGCAGTTGCAACAGACGAGCGAGGAGAATTCCTTGAAACTATAACAATAAATATCGATGTGCCTAATAGAAAACGACGGAAAAAAGCTTCTGCCAGAAGAGTTGCTCTGGAAAAGTTGATGGATTTTATATTGGGAGTTATGTCACAAAGCACCCAGCCTTGGCGGTTAGTTGTGGGCAGGATAGGAAGGATTGGTCATGGAGAATTGAAAGGTAAAGTGCTTTTATTTTCATTGTTTTATAATTATATTAATTTAATATGTGATTTTATTTTATTGTTGCTTTTTATTTCAGGATGGAGTTGGTTGTTATCACGTAAAAATTTACTTAAAGCATCAAAGCATCTGAAGGAAATATGTGGACAATGCTCACTATTATATCAGTTTGGTGCTGTTCCCAGTATTTTAAGTGCTTGCTTAGTTTCACTCGAACCTGATTCAGTATTACGGTTGATGGCTGATCAGTTTACCCCAGACGAGAGATTTAGTCAAGCATCTGTTAACTCACCACTCTCTACACCTCAAGATGTCACATGCACACATATATTAGTGTTTCCTACAAGCGCAACAACACAGGTAAATTATAAAAAACATGAAACCAAATATAAATTTTTTTGATACAGAAACTTTATTGCATTTTTTATATTTCAGTCTTCTCAAACAACATTTCAAGAATCCCACATGAATGATATTGATGATGAATTCATGATTGAAGATATGGATGAAGAGATGACAGAGGGTCTTGATCCATCATTCAATGATATTTTCAATACTTGGCCAGAACCAGGTGCAGAAGGACTTCCTAGTCCAAGTGGAAGTCCCAAACATGAAGAGTCTGGACCAGTTAGTCCCGGCGCTATTTGTGATCATGATCAGCAGAGCATGTTTCCTGATGGATTAAATAATATGGTGAGTATTTTTCAAACTAGTTATTAAAGTAGAATGAAACTTGTTAATTAAATTAAAATTTATTAGTACAATTACACATAATAAAAGTTTGTCTAAAAAATATTAATTGGAAATAGCTTTAAAGTTATTTTTATCATTTAATACTGTTTTCTGTTAAATTTCATTTACTAAGTTATTTATTCTTCTTTAGGGTGGAGTATGTTCAGCAGATACTATAGAGGAAGTTGGAACAGTATTGCAACAGCCGTTAGCCCTGGGTTACCTGGTTTCTACTGCACCTACAGGAAAAATGCCAAAGTGGTTTTGGGCACCTTGTCCACATCTGGAAAATGTATGTCCAGTATTTTTGAAAAATGCTCTTCATTTGCATAGTCCTGCGGTTCACCAGAAAACAGATGACATTGTTTTACAACGGAGTCCAGTGGGTGGTCATCCGCTTGACTCACAACTGACTACAGATGTATTGAGGTAAATAATAAAAAAATTAAATTAAATATTTGAATCAATATGATATGTATTATTAATTATATATACATATATATATATATATATATATATATATATATATAAATAATTATAAACAATATTAATGTTGTTTTTATAGATATGTCCTGGAAGGCTACAATGCACTATCTTGGCTGGCAATGGATACTAATACACATGATAGATTATCTTGTTTGCCAGCACACGTTCAAGTACTGATGCAACTTTATCATCTGACTGCTGCTTTGGTCTGAATTTAAAATTAACTGCCTTTAATAGTTAGGGTATGTTGTTCCCATTTTATTTAGTTTTTTTTTAAAAAACTCTTGAGGAATATTTTAGGAAAATATTATTTATAGTTCCTCTGTAATTAGTTAATTTTCTTAATTCAATATTATACATTATTTTTTTATCAATATGGTAGATGATTACTATTTGCCAAAATTGGATAAAGTGGATAAATTTTTTATGACGACCAATGGACTAAAACAATGAATATTGAGTCAATTTTTTAAACTAATGTTATAATCAATTAACTTCCTATAAAGGAAAATTACAATGCGAGCAATAATTATTCTTGAGATTGGACAAATGTTTAAATATAATATATTATACTAAATAAGTCTAATAATTGTTTCTCAAGACTGATACTCCTTTTTAACATGATTTGTAAATAGACATGTAAATACTCTGTTATGACTTATGTTCATTTATTTATTGTGATAATTTAAATGTACACATGTGTAAATACAGTATTGAAATTTTCAATGTTTGACTTTATTGAGATTTGTAAATAAGCTAATTTTTCATTTCTAAATACAATTATTTTTGTTTTTTTCGATTATAACTTTTCTTATTTACGTAATTAATTTTAGGAAAATATAAGAAATCTGCATATTTATTTTAATTTAAATCTATCCTACTTTTAATTTAAACGAGATGAAATTTTATTTATTAATATGATATTTTGATATTTATAAATAAACGGTAAGCACCACAGCTTAGAAGTAAATTTTGTACAGTAACCTTTTTATGTTACATGATATATTCAAATGTTTCGACTCTTGCAATATTAGCAAAAAAAGATTATTTCTATTTTTTATATTTTATTAAATTATATGAAACAAAATCATGGTTTGTATTGTATAGCCTTATATTTATCAGATTGTTAAAAAGTGATTGTACGTTATTATAGGGCTATCTATAGTGGTGCCTTTTTGTTAATTGGAAAACTAATGAAACTATATTTTGTAAATGAAGAATTTCCACTTTGAAATAATATTTCCAATGTAACAGAATTTTACATAGCAAAATATATTTCAGAACTTGCAAAGTACAAACTTAATTAGTAATATCATATAAACACTTGTTAATTTTAGAAATTGTTGCATGACAACTAATCATTTTAAGTGTTATTAATATTTTATAAAACCAATTATTATAAACTTGTAAAATGATTAATAATAATACATTAAAAGAATAATTTATGAGGTTAAGATATTTATATCACTAGGCATAATATTAGTCGTAATTTAATATTTTTAACAATCACATATGGTTCCGCTATTATAGTAACTATTTACTAAATTAATTATGAGTCATTTATTATCAATGTGAACTAGGGGGCCAAATGATACGATTGTCCAAGGCCTATTATTAAAAATATCAAGTATTTTTACTAAGCAATGAATAAAGATGACACCGCACATTTATTAATGTTTTTGTAATGTACATATATACATAATATAAATGCTCTGATACATAAAGTAGTCAATTTATTAAAGTAGATGAGAATACCAAATAATATTTGTATATATGCACATGGAATTTATAAATTCATATGTTGTACATAACTACATTTGTTATGATTTGTGTTCATTACTGTTATAATTGTTCATGAATTTAATAGGTCACAATTATAATAAATATACACAATTAACATAATAGTATGTATACATACTGTCATAAATTGATACAACTTTAATCTAAATATAATTTAAACAAATATAAATATTAAAAAATATTAACCTTGAAACTTAGGCCAAATTGCATTGTAAAATAGCTAATAATATGTACATTGACTTATATAAGGAAATTTTCAAATATATGATTTAAATAGAATAATAATTCTTTCATTTATGTAGATTTGATGCATGTAAATATTTTCTCAATACAGTAATATCTTGCTCAACGCTGCTTTTAGGTAATACTTTGCTTAACGCTCTTCTAATTATTATTAAAGGTATGTGTTTCCTATTATAACTTTCTACAACAGTATATTTTTTTAAAAGTTATAATAAATAATCTATTTACTTTGATACTTTATTCTTGTTTTAGTACTTCTCTTATTTTTTATTTTACAGGTTTCATCATTTATTTTCATAGAGTTTATCGACTTATACTATTTAATAGTATTACTGGAAATAATTTGAATTGTGTATATTATATCCTTACATGTAATATATATAAATATACATATTCATATCTGAATGCTTTTCAAAGTTTAAAAGCGTATTCAAATATCCCGCCATATTTGCAAGTTTGGCACATGCAGCGCCTCTATGTAAAATCGTTCCCATTTCGTGAGGAACTAACGTCAAATGTTAGACAGTTCTTGCGTGAATAGGAATCCAATAAGATTTCTGAGCTCCCGCGGTGATTGCTTGCAGCGCCTCTATGCAAAATTGTTCCCAGTTCGTGAGGAACTAACGTCAAACGTTTGACAGCTCTTGCGGAAAAAGGAATCCAATAAGATTTCTAGATTCATAGAGGCGTGAGGAACTAACGTTTGGCAGTTCATCTCCAGTTGGATTTATATACTGTTATCATCATATGGGCTAGATGGCTTGGTTTGTATGGAATATATAAATTTATATATTGATTTATACACGATTATATATGCCCTAGCTGCCGTAGTTTGTATGGAAAATGGATATATAAATGTATATTTTGATTTATACATAATTATATATGGCCTAGCTGCCGTAGTTTGTATGGGAAATGGATATATAAATGTATATATTGATTTATACATGATTATATATGGCCTAGCTTCCTTAGTTTGTTTGGCAATTGGATATATAAATTAGATTTAAAAACTGTGCAGTAATAATGAAATTAGATGTATAAATGTATATAATTATTATGTATCATATATTGAATTATTATATTGTTATCATTAAATAATATATATTTAAAACATTGTGATCTTGCTAATTACATATATATTTATATATATATATATATATATATATATATATATTCAGTTTTATTATATAAAAAATTTAATATATATATATATATATATATATATATATATATATATATATTACATATATATTTATATATATGATATATATATATTTATATACGAGTATATTGGTATTATTTTGTAATTATATAAATAAATATTTAAGTAATTTAATTTGATTTTTTTTTAACATATAATTTATAGAATTTTTCAGGTTGCTTTTGGCAAACAATAATTAATAACCATAAATAATTTGACAAACAATAATTAATAGCTCTAAAATTAATTATATTTACTTAATTACAATCATACATAAAGATCCATTTACATAAAGATAGATATATCATTTTATTTCATATCATAATTTTATTCAAAAATGGCGCCATTCGAAAAGCAATCGAAAATCCTTCCTTTCGCAATGATAGAAAGAGCCGACATCGAAAGATCGAAAATTTCATAGTAAACTGCGTCTGTAATCGTTTCGAAGTATCAGGCGAACAGACACGCTCAGAATTTATATATGATAGTATAGTACTATTCGCGCGGCCCATAGAACTCGCGTACTCTTCATACATTTCATACATTTTCATACGAATTTCTCTGCCGATCTAACAGGGTAGCAGACACATTTTTCAATCAAATTTCGCTCGTATTTCACAGGGCCGTCTGCTGAAATGTTAGGGGTAATTATTTTTAAAATTTAAAATGCAATTTATTGTTTTGGGATATTTCGATAGGTTTTGGTGTTGGGAATGGTTTTTTAACATTATTATAATTGTATAAACATTGGAAAAAGTAGTAAATGTGCATAATGTAGCTGATAATTGCAAAATTTAGTTATTTGTGTATACGTACTACAATTTTTGACCTTTCGTCAACGTTTTCAGGAGAACGGCTGTACCAAATTTGAAAATTTAAAAAGCATCGGATGTGGCTTGATGGGAACTCTACGCAATTCGGTTTTTGCGACGATCGGACAAGCCGTTTTTTTAAAATTAGTGTAATTGTGCAAAAATTTTCGCCCACGTTTTTTCTAAAATTGTTAAATCGAATTTAAAAATTGATAGACTATTCGAAAGATATTTTTGGGGAATCATAGTTTTTAGTTTTTGGTAAAGATCGGCCGAGCCGTTTCTTTGTAATTAGTTAAATAATATGGAACAAATTTTATTTGGTATTAAATTTTATAAATTATACACATAGTATAATTCTTAAAGTAAAATTACATATATTAGTGATATTATAATTAGTGCAATTTTTATAAAAATGTGTTTTTCCAACTTTAAAAAAAAATTACATATTTATTTTATTTAACATATAAAGATGTTCAAAATGCGGTCCTGGTTTCTTGTTAAATGTAGTCCTGCTTTCTGATTGGTTGCCTCGTTTTGACAGCTCCAAATATATAAATGGCGGACAATTCTTGTTACTTCTTACGAAAATGCTCCTGTAATCGCTTCGAAGTATCAGGCGAACAGAAACGTCAGAATCTATATATGAAAGTGTAATGTTACTCGTGCACAATGTATGGTGTGACTATAACGAATTCATTTAACCTCAATGTAAGTACAAATTGATTATCATTACGATTATTATATTTCAAATTGAATGTCATGTGGCTATTATATATTATATTTTTTATATCAATTCCTATTTTTATGATTATTATTAAAATTTATTTCTATGTTAATTATTAAAATTAAACTAATTAAATTGTTACATCGATGTAGGTATCTAGTAAAAATGATCACTATTTAGTGTTTCTTGTGATAAATCTATATTCTTTTTACAGGTGCTTATAACTTTTAAAGAAACAAGAAAGAAAAATTAAATGAGATGTATAATTGATGAATTATATAGAGGCCATTGTGTACAATTGTGTTGTATTTAACTGTCTTCCCAGAAATATACATTAAACGGAGAAGCAGAGATGATGAATAGAAGATCGAGTAAGTTTTGCAACATTGCATATACTATTATATATAATAGTTTTAGGAAGTTTAATTTAAAGTTTGTATAAAAACTTAAATATCGAACTGCAATTCCAATGAATTTGCCAATTTATGGGAGAGTAGAAAATAGAATGAAATGATAAATCAAAGTAGTAATGCCTGTATATTAAACTTCAGTTGTAGTTACATAAAACACCAATATTTTTTAATGAATGGAGTCAAAAAAATGATGAGAAATGCTTATAGTTTATTTAAGAAATACAATTTTGTACAAAAGTACATTTTGCTCACAATAATCTAAGAAAATACCTCATAAACCTATTAGAATTTCATATGAATGTAGTTGAATCACATGAAATGAATGATTTCACTATAAGTGATTCTATAGATAAATTCTTTATTGAATCAGATTTATACTTACAATTTCTTTTATAATGAAAAACTAATTCTTTGTCTCATCAAGCACTTTGAAGCAAAAACATTACGGGGTTTTAATTAATTGTCAATGAATTGATAATTGATATTAATGTGCTTCGAATAATATGCATACTAATTTATACTATTACAATACTTTTAGAATGAATTGAGTTTAAAAATAATAAGAACTTTATAAAATGCATATAATATATATGTTTCACAAACAAGTATTTAATTATTAACAATAATTTCACTGAATTTCTATTTTATAGTGTTATGGATTCTTTCGCTGTTGCAAGTATACATACTTTGGAGAATAATAATTGTTCGGGATGGTAACAGGATTGTCCCTGTACTTCAGAGATAAAGAGACAAGTTCTGATACATATATTAATAGAAGTATGCATTTATGCTGATTTCCAAATGCTGAAATCTTTAAAAATATAAATACATAGGTAACTATAATTTCGTGCATGTACTACAAAATGAGAATGAGGAATTATACTATAAGAGAAGAAAGCTTCAAGCTTCTAAATACATTTATACAATCTTGTGGAGACATGATTTTTTTATATGAACAAATATATCATAATGCAGATGAAAGACAGATAGTAACCATATCTTCTTCTCTTATGATACACCTACAAATACAATAGATAAATCACAAAACTAAGACAGAAAAATAGATGTAACTTTATAAAGAAAAAGCAAATGTAAAATATTTCTTTTATTTCAATTAATATTATAATAATACATTTATTTTTCATTTAATTTCTTATATTTGTTATGTAAAATAGTAGAATTACATGCATTTAAGTAATTTCATACTGTATGATATGAATTAATATAATATTTATAATAATAATGTAATTTATAGGAACTTTACTTCCAAAAATAAGAATGCTTTGACGATACTTTTTTATATGATATAGTTTATTATTCAATTAATTTTGCTAGTAATATAACATATCATTATTCATTATTACAACCCAAATATTTCCATTATAGGAAATTCCAAGAATTCAGAACAATGTGTCTATCCAGATTTTTCCTGTCTGTAATGGATTATTCTGTGTATTTTCTGAGTTTAGTATTTACGATGGATTGCTTCCAACACAGACTATAGGAGTACCTTTAACTGGAACTAATCTATGAAGCACAATTAAGGAAGATGAAATATCTGAGCATTATAATGATATAGAAAGCAAGTTGCCTTTGTACCTTTGAGAGGAAATAAAATGGTATTGTCAATGTTTAAAACTTAGTTTTAGCTATGTATGATTTTCTTTATATTGACTTTTTATCAAAAGTATTTCTTGTAGATTACTTTATATAATTTTTTATAAACTGTTTGAAACTGTTTACGACAAAAGTTTTTATGCAACTTATGATGTTCAATATAATACAAGTCCATTATTGAGATTTAAATCAATAGAAATTAAAATATTCTGTTAATTTGTTTATTAATAATGTTATAAGAGTGCCGTTAAGTTCTGACAATTAAAATTGTACATACAATTTTGATTGTAACTTAATTATTTGTAAAATTCAAACTTTGAATGTATGTGATTAAACAAATAAGTTTAATTCTTGATATAATTGAAAAAAACATATGTATCTATAGGTACAAAAAATAAGAGTAAGAAAATCTTACAAGAATAAGTAATAATTCGTAACTAAAATTATATATATATATATATATATATATATATATAATTTTAGTTACAAATTATTACTTGGTCTTCTTAGATTTACTTATTGTTTTATATTTATTCCATATTTAACTTAAAGATCCATAGTTCTTTTGGAAATGGATATATAAATGTATATATTGATTTTTCCATAATTTTAATTGGACTAGCTGCCTTAGTTTGTATAGGAAATGTATATATAAATGTATATATTGATATTCATTCAAAACCTGGAACATTATTATATATCTAATAGAGTACAAAGCAATATATAAATGCATTTATTGATTTTTCCATCATTATAATTTGACTAGCTGCTTCAGTTTGTATGGAAATTGGATATATAAATATATATATTGATTTTTCCGTTATTATATATGTATTAGCTGATGTTCTTTATAGGGAAATTGGATATATAAATGTATATATTGATTTTTTCATTATTATATATGGATTAGATGCTGTAGTTCATAGGAAAATTGGATATATAAATGTATATTTTTCCATCATTATATAAGGAATAGTTGCCTCAGTATATATGAAAATTGGATATATAAAAGTATATATTGATATATACATCATTCGATGTGTTCTTGTCAGTAGAAAATAGTTAATGGAAAAGATGCATTACTTCAGGTCGAGAAAACATAAGGATTAGTATAAAGTAGTTTAATTAAAAAAAAGATTTTTATTATATCTTTAAATAGTATTCATCATGTATAACTTTTATTAACAAACCAAATTTATAAAATTATATTTTTTAATCAAATTTATGTCACTGGACTTGATCCAGAATATATTTATTATTGATTGGTATCAGATAACGATAAAAAAAATGGATTTATGTAAATGTGTGTATAATACACATTATTATTTATTTATTTATTTATTAATTTTACAAGCCGTCGGTAAAGTAATATTATAATAAGGCTTAAGTCAATATTTTATAGGTTTAATATAATTTAATTAATTATTATAATATTACTTTACCTATAGCTATAGCTATAGCTATATTTTATTACTTATTGATTTATTATTTAATTTATTTACTATAAACTTATTTATACTTAGTTAATTTTAATTATTTTTAAATATAACTAGTTTGTTTGTTGCAAGTATTTTTTAAAAATTTAATAAGTATTTTAATAAGCTTTACAATACTTTTACAATATAATTATTTCATTTAACAAATTTTAGGTTATTATATGATATTTTAACAAATTTAAGTGTCTTATATTATTGTTAATATTATTATTATTATCATTAATAATAATATCATCATTATCATTATTATTATTATTGATAGGTATTTTTACAATATAAGTTTTTTTTCTTGGTAACGGAGCGTTTGATTTTAATAATTCAAAAAACATTTTATTTGTATTGACAAGATGAAGAACTGATTAAATTTTTGGGAAGGCAGGTCCAGCGGTTATAGATTCTCAATTAAAATAAGTTAAAAAAATGGCATTTGGCGGTCAAAAATGTTTATTGGACATATGTACATCAAATTATCAGATAATTTATAGGGGTTTTAATAATGTGTACACATTTTGTGTAAATTTTTTTGAGTTCCGTACCAAGATTTTTAATTATGGTACGGGAAGTTCCAGCAATTTGCCTTAAGGCACGATGCCATGCACCCCGCTAGTTCATAGTCTCATCCCTATGTTATTATATTATCTAGGGTTTCATGTATCCTTTATCCTCACATTTATTGTGTAATGTCTCCTTTATCCGTGTTGTGTTGGTGTTCGTGACAAAAGCAAAACAACACCGAACTGAATGTAGGTTAGATTAATACCAATACAAGCGCAGAACGTCATACGATTCGTCATTCGCACACAGTAAGTGCGCGTGTAGTGACGTTTATGTGCTTGTGTTGGATTGTTTCGGCGTGTGGGAAGAGACCGATTTCACTTTCCCTTATTCAGGCGAATGCTGTGCTGTTTGCCGGTAATTATATGAAATTGTATATTTTTTTTGATGATTTTATTAATAGTAATAAACCATAGGGGGTAGTAATTTGTTTATTGCCAAAATAAATGCAAAAGAAATGGTTTGCGCAAGGCTTTGGCGCCATTGACGGATTTGACATATCGGCATGCTTCTAATTCTAACCTAACTTAATATGTTGAATTAATAACTGAAATATTTTTACTTTAATTAATTTCGACACGTGATATGTGTCATCATTCAATAAATCAAACCAGGAGAAATGAAACACAAAACTAGTGGCGTATGGCATCGTGCCTTAAGGCAAATTGCTGGAACTTCCCGTACCGCAATGAAATATTCGAGAAATTTTAAACGTTTTCAAATCTATTATTACAAATACTGTCACTTTCATTATTTTTGCTATCTTGTTATATATGAGCAAATCAAATGTAAATCATAATTCAATTAATCGTCATTTCATTTCGAATTCAGCTTCAAAAAAAAGTTGCCTAATTTGCACAAAATTGAAAAAGTGCTTCCGTATAGTCACAGTCTAAACGCATTTGCAAATAATTCTGTGCGACATTTACACTTATACTGTGCTTAGCTTGGCGGCATTTTCACATTTTTCAATAAAAGTAAAGTCTAAATGCACTTGGGTAAACATTTGTACCAGAGTGGCGCTTAGACTTTGCTTAACCTGGGTAATTTTTTGAATTTTTAATCCAAAATTACAAAAATATTTTATTGAAAATATAAAAAGATGTAATAATTTTTTATCCTCAAAAGCAATTGTTTTGTCAATACAAGCAGAAAGTTTTTTAGATCATTCAAATCGCTTAGTTCAGTCAAAAACTGCCATTATTTGTACATTTAGCTCTGTATCTTCAAAATGGCGGGACCTGTCTTTGCCAAAAACTAATCATCTATTCTCCCAATCATTACAAATTGAATGTTTTTTAGATCATTCAAATCCAATACTCCGTTCTCTCAAAAACTCGAATTGTATTTTCTGCACTCTTTGCTCCGTATCTCCGTAACGGCTGGACCTGTTTTTGCTAAAAACTAATCAGCACATCTTCCTATCAATAGGTAACGAATGTTTTTTAAACCATTCAAAACACACACACACACTTACACGTACACATCCAGTTTTTCTGAGGTATGCCAAAATGTTCAGAAACCTTTAAAACGTCGAGAAATGCAAAAAATTTCATTCTCGATTTTTGGCCCATTACTATAACTACCCTACGGGAAGATAAAAATTACAACAATATTTTTATTGAGGATTTTATTTAACAATAAACACCCAAACATAACTACATTTCATGTTTATTTATCTATAACTACAATCCAAATAATGTAAGAGTAATAATTAAGATATCGATCACAGTCAATTGATTTTTGGTACCAATTTGTTATTAAATTGTATAAATAAACTAACAAAAATGGCATCCTAAATATTTTAACAAATACATGATTGATGCTTTAATAGATCGATACTCAAAACGAACTGTGTATTGACATTTTAAATTATGTTTAATAAAATTATCAATTAAGATTTTATATACAGGCTCCCTATAGATCAGTCTTTCTCATAGTGGGCGATATGTAAAAAAATAGTTAGGGGCTTCTTATCGCCCCCCCAGTGAGTTATTGTAATATCCAGGGGGGCGATAAGAAGTCCCTAACTATTTTTTTTACATGCGTTGCATTTGCTCTAACTGGCAAATTTTTTAATTTAGAATGTAAGGTTACATCAACAAATATAGCACACTATAACTATATGATATAAATTTATCAAATTTTAGAGATTAGGTAAACAAAAATGGTAGGGAGGCGCTACAAAAATTTTTATTTTCAAAGGGGGCGTTGGAAAAAATAAGTTTGAGAAACGCTAGACCTATATAATATAGATTGATTTTACTATACCTATACTCGATTCAAGTTTTTTTAATTTTAATACTCGTTTTTTTTTTACAGAAATGTTTCCTGAGAGGATTAGCAAAGTATCCAGTTTGTCTTGGCGAAGAAGTACTTCTCCTGTTTGGTGAGTCGTTTTTTTATATTCTAACTTGATGAATGTTTATGATTGACTTTATGGGTGTGCAGAGTGATTGATTGAGTGTAATATTTCAAAAATTTCTTGTTTTTCGTACAAAATATTTTACAAGATAATTGGTTTTCTTTTATCATTTTTATATTATAAGCTGGAGAACTTTTCACGATACAAGTCCATGTCAGATCTAATGTATGGATGTTAATTAATTCTGTTCAGATTCGTAGAAATAAACAAGAGATAATTTGCGTCGTATTTCACCCAGTTTTTCTCTTGTTGTCTTGGTTGTAGGGTTTCGCTTGTCCCGTTCTAGGATTTCATAATATAGAAACGCAGTTGTTAATAATAAATTGATATACTGGTAAATTAAATTATCGAATAAACAGAACACAAAGACTTTTCAGTGTATCACTTATACCATATACATAAAATAAGGCTGAGTGGAATGAATTTCCCTTCAAAATTAAGATTGCTATTATGATAAAATTTTCAACCGTTGATTTCAAACATTAATTAAAAATTATTGTAAAAGTTAGTAAATTTTCTAATTAATCTCGTAGGCCTATAATAATTTATTAATTTTATCATCTATGCAAGAAGAAACAGATTTTGAAATTAACGTGATTCTTATAAGGTTCATGGCCATTTCAAACTTCTATCGTCACAACTCTAAAAGTTGTAAAATCTCAATTCATATTGATTTAAGTCTATTCTTCACACATAGAGAGGAGTGGTAGTTTCTCCGTCTTTCCTAAAGACAAGATGCCACTTGCACCCACTTCCATTTTTGTTCAATTGATTTACGGATATTCAAAATTCAAAAACCCGAGTGAAAACTGAGATTCATTGTTATTTTACTACTTTTTATTCAAATTGAGATTCATTGTTATCTTCCTACTTTTCTAGTAAAATCTTTTTATAATCGATATTCCAAAATTAAAAATGCATTCAAAAATTACATTTATTGTTATCTTCTTACTTCTCCAGTAAAATCTTTTTCTAATCGAATTATCATTGTTTAAAATTGCTTTTAAAGCATTATTCTAACGTAACAGCATATACTTATCGCACTCTGTTTAGATTATTATCTTCAATTATATGCATTATATAATAAAAGTGATCCAATTCCCAAGTTTTGTTGCAAAATCGCGTGAGATCTGTTCTAAGAACAAAAGAAAATGAAATCGTAACAAAAATCTTATTGTTAGTCATAGAAAAATTATGCTGCTTGGATTTACTTGGAGAATTATAATATTTAATTGTGCGTGTAAATGTCTGGTTTAAATATGCTTAATATACTGATTCTAGTTTTTTCTTGTTTTAGTAATTTTTAAAAATATTTCTTTATTCTCAAGTCAGACTTGTATAGAATCTACCGTTAAGGTTGTTAACCGAATATACTGCTCGGAAAAAAATGAGAAACCTGTTTTATTATCTTGGAGCTAAAACAAAGTTGTATAGAAATATAATTCTGGTAATAACTTTGGCAGACAAAATTTTAAGAAATAATAGATAATAAGGGGCTTCGAATCTTACAGCTTATAAAGCAAGTAATTAATTGCTAATTGCTCTTCCTTGTCTGTTGAATTTGGTCATTAATAATTCTTTATATATATATATATCCAATTTATACGCACATATGTATTAGTACCTGTGCTAATTTCCCTCGTAAGGTTTTCGTCTAATTTATGAGTAACATTCTCCTAAATAATTTTGTCACGACTTCGATGCAGTATATCTTTAGTAACGATCTCCATAAATAAACGAACCAGACATTCGCTTTTCGCCAAGTTTATAGTATTATTGCCGTCTTTCAAGATCACGACATTTGTGTGTATGCTCTTATTCGCATAATTTTCTATTTCCATTTTGTATTCTCATAGAATAGCCGGCTTTTTGCCCATAAGACATTGCCCAATCTTTAGCCGAGACCTGTAACACGCCCTAAGGTAATAGTCAACATAGAACTTTATTTCAGACATCGGATTTTGATTAAATTATATAGATACGTGGATTTCGAGATGGGATCCTTGAGAATTTATGAAAGACTTACCTGCTTGCTGATCTAGTTAAGAATGGACAAATTGTATTTAGTAATAGGAAAATGTTAGAGTTGTTTAAACAAATGTATTGCTCGGGCGATTTGACAATCTTGGTAATAAATGTCTTAGGAGTTTCTTAAGTGAATTCAGATTCACATTCAAGTTTTCTATGTAGGAGTTTCTAGAATTTATTTGCAATATTTTTTTTAAGAACAACCAAAACCCTTATTTGTTTTTTTTAAGCTGTTATGATAGTAATCTTTTATATTCTAGCATTATTAGACCACCCAATGGTCCTTTCATCTTGTGATGAAATTGTGATTAGATATTTCTGAATTGAGATTTTTATTTGAAGTCATATTAAAAACTATTTTCAAGTAAACATTGATATCACTACTGCTTGATAACAAACTGCTCGAGATGGGAATTGAACCTGGAACCTTTTGGTTACAAGTCCAAAGCTCTTACCACAGTGCCTCGACAAGCTCTTCTTGATGTCCAAAAATTAAAAAAAAAATGTCAATTGAAAAAATGTTATTAAATTTATATATTTTGCTAAGTTTTTATCCTTTTTGTATTTTTTAATAATTATTGTTTTTTAGTTAAGCTTTGCTAATTTTGATCATTTCAACTTTGGTCATCACAGAAATCTGATCAACTTACCAATTTTTGATTTAACCCTCGGATGCCAAAATTCATATAAATCTCAGAATTAGCGAGTGGAAATTTTTGGAAATTTTTGGAAATTTTTAGTCTTTTCAATTTTTCAACTATTTTTGCAATTTTTGGCCATTGACTATGGATTTATACTCAATTCGTGAAACTTCAACTCCCTGCCAAACTTCCTTTTTTGTTCTTCAAAATTCCATGCTCCTGAGCCGGTTAATTATTATCATCAGTTTTGATTTAATTCGATAACCATTACTTTCGCATTCGTTTATCTCAAACATCTTAAAACAATTTTAACGAAGTTAGAATTTAAAGATTCTAATCATATCACGCCGAACTTTATATTATCATCCACAATGGCTTTTCTTGCGCCAGTACACGATTCTAAAATCACGACGACTTGTCTGCATTCGTTGTGTATATAATAAATATTAGATTCATTTATTCGTGTATGTTGCTGCATACAAATGCAAAACGAAATAAATAAGGAAATGGTAAACGATTACACAAAAGTAAGTTATTTTTTTATATTTTCAACAGCAATAAAAATATAACAAGTCCTTTGAGCTGTTGTACTGACTTCTTGAAAGACATGGCTCTGTAGATGGCAACCCAAGTGGATGTCCTATCCCTATGTAATGCAATTGCTATTACTACAATTTCTGCAATGCTGATGTATCTTAAAGAACTATGTTTTCATATAGTTTGTTTTATATATTTTATATTGGACGACGTTCAAAATATTTTTTATAAAAATCTTTTTTTATCGATCTCTGTTACATTATTTTTATTTCTGTATCCTAATTCATTAAATTTTTCATATTTATTTTTTTGGCATAGCTGAAGGCTGTTTTTACTTGGAAAGATTTTTTTATCTTACTAAAATAAATTTTATGAATTTAATAAATTTACTTTGATCAGCACTTGACATGACTAAAAATAAGGAAAAATATCCAACAACATGCCAAATGCAGAAAAATAGTAATTTTATCTAAAATGTATGCAGAAATTGTACAATAAATGTTAAAGTAGATTCAATTCTTGTCTCGGGCAACTTGATATCCAGCAGTAGTGGTAGGCAATTTTACTTGAAAAAATTGATTCTAATACGATTTTGAGTTGGAAAATTGGGAGCATTACTGCAACGACATAAAATGCAATCATAATAAAAAAAATTACCTTTTACTATTACCTTCTATACCTGTTCTTATAACAGAAATTTTTATTTATACAAATTTTTGACTATTTTAGTATGATTTTCTCATCTTCAGATTGCTGTACAATATATAAAAAAAGATAGTGTGAAGCTTACTCCTTGTTTTTTGAGAATTGGTGCTATTACTAATTTTTTTATGTACCTATTATTCTGTATTTATGATCCTGAATTGTTAAAGTTATTGTTGTGATACATTTCAAATTAATAATTATTACACTTTTTGTTCAGAATGAATTTTTTTCCATTATTCAGTAAATCATTGTTCCGGTTGGACAAAAACTATTGGAGCAACAAGTTTATATGTTATTGCCATAGATAGGATGCTGTTTCTTCTTCTTCCATTGTTTCCTAGAATATCCCTTTTTTGTGATTGAACAACAACTAGTTTATACAACCTGAAATATTTAATTCCAAATTGAATTATTATATCGTCTAACATCTTGACTCTATAGTTTCGTAGTTTTTTGTCTCACCAGCTCCTGAACCAAAAACCATTGGTGGTGCACCCTGTCCATGTGGTGCTTTTATTGTCATAGGATGCTGTTTCTTCTTCTACCATTGTTTCCTAGAATATCCTTTTTTTGTGGGAACAATAACTAATTCATAGTCAATCAACCTGAAATATTTAATGCCAAACTGAATTATTATATCGTCCAACATATTTCCAATTTTAACGAAGTTAGAATTTAAAGATTCTAATCGTGCTGCTGCTCCTAATATAACTCACCTGCTCCTACCAAGTCCATGTGGGGCGTTAATTGTCATAGGATTCTGTTTCTTCTTTTACCATTTTTTCCTAGATTTGTTTTTTTATTGTTGCAACAATAATAACTAGCTTATAGTCAATTTACAGTCAATTTCAACAGAATTATTACATCGTCTAAAATCTTGTTCCTTTTTTCCTCTTTCGCCCTACCAGCTCCTTCTAAAATCTTGTCCAGTATCTGTATTCGTCGTCTCCGGCTCAGTATGGGTTCGTATAGGATTAGTCGTATGTTGTATTGGTTGTTAGCGTCGACTCTGTTCGCCGGTTCGTTTGTTTGCAAAATGAAATAAAAGTGAAA